AATTAACATAACGAATCATTATTTCCTAAACTTATAAAAGTTATTCTAAATCCAATAACGGTATGATAGAAATGGGGAACTGTAGTGAGATGCCAAGTGTGGACATGTTACTTATGCCCTATGTGTTTTGTTAAGGCAGCTCATGGTACTGTTGAGAGTTTGGGGAAAATACGTACATGTACCTTCTGTCGCTATCAGGTAACAGACCTGACAGGAAAGTAGCCAAAAAGAGAGAGAGAGAGAAAGAAAAAATACAATTCATTTCAGTAAGGCTAAGTCATTCAAAAAAGATCAAATTAAAGTACCCATTTCATCTAAAAATATGGAAAGGAGAAATAATGGCACCATGGAAACTATAATTAACTTTTCAAGTGATCACAGAATTAGCCAATGAAGTAGAAGCCATGGGTTGTCAACACAACAATTAGTCTTCACTGGCTGAGTAAACACAGGTGGGGAAGTAGTTACTTCTAAATGCTTTCTTTCTTTTTTCATTTTATCACTTTCAGTGGTGTCAAATATGCTACACTGAAGACTTAAGTAGCATGTTAAGTGACACTGGTTTCACTGAATCTCAAGATCGCTTTCACAGTAAACATTTTGTTTAGAGTGCCATACACCCAGTGGGTAAAAATAAATATTAAATGGAAATGATACCAATACCTAAGGTATCACATATCAGACATGTTGACAGTCAGCCCAGTGGGAATGCCCGGAAGCCCAACTGGACGTCTATTCTACTCTGCCAGCTCCACTCATCAACGCATTGCAAAGCATCTTTGAAAGAAAGAATTAGTGACCAGCTGTTCTTCCTCTGCATTAAAATGAGCAGTGGGGGGGCTGGGCAGGGAGAATACAGCTAAAATGCAGCAGGAGGGATTTAAGTTATATGGAAGATTAAATGAACTCATGGGCAGTAGAAGTTATTAAACACAGGCAAGAGCCAGCAAAGGCAATTTTAGGATCTTCTTCATAGATATTTAAAAAATCAGAGGTAAAATCTGTGAAGATTTATGTACACCGGTGTTTCAAATTAAGATACATGAATTAAAGTGAACCGATTAGCGTGAACTGGGTGAACTAGATACTCTGTAGAGATCTCTTCTCAGTACTGTAATGATTTTCAAGATGTGAATATTGAGAAAGTCGTATGGCACATAGACTTGTTTTAAAATTTTTATAAATCTTAGGAACTTGATTCCAAGTTCAATTATTGTACCTACTTTCTGCATAGGAAGTCACTACTATAAAATAATTTGCTGGATAGTGCAGAAACTAAGATTAGTGAAAATAGTTAAAAATTCTAATATGACCACTACATTTATCATGTCTTGTGTTATGAATCATAAATTTCCTAGAAAGTGCTTTCCCAATCATTGACTTAAATAAGAAAGTTCTAGTGTACTTGGTTTTCTTTTGTTAAGGTAAAATGTTTATTAAAATATAATTCAGTGTAGGCCAGGCGCCGGTGGCTCACCCCTATAATCCTAGCACTCTGGGAGGCCGAGGTGGGCGGATTGCTCGAGGTCAGGAGTTCAAGGCCAGCCTGAGCAAGAGCGAGACCCCATCTCTACTGTAAATAGAAAGAAATTAATTGGCCAACTAATATATATAGAAAAAATTAGCCAGGCATGGTGGCACATGCCTGTAGTCCCAGCTACTCAGGAGGCTGAGGCAGGAGGATTGCTTGAGCCCAGGAGATTGAAGTTGCTGTGAGCTAGGCTGACGCCACGGCACTCACTCTAGCCTGGGCAACAAAGTGAGACTCTGTCTCAAATATATATATAATTCAGTGTAGTCATTAACATTGTGTAGAATAATAATTAGTGGATTGGAGAAAATTTCATCAAAAGCAGCTTACCTAACAGTAAGTGCATTTTCATCTCTGAAAAGACAAATTTTTATAAGCACAAGAAAAATAAAAGAATAGAACATTACAAACGAAGATATTAGAAATATCTCTCAACCACAGGATTAGAGGTGATTTTTCTTTCTATCTCTTTCTTGTGTTTTTTAAACTTTCTATGATGAATATATATTATTTTGTATAATAAGAAACAAAAGCTCTTACAAAAATAAAGAACACTGTGTCTTAATGGTGAAGAATAGATAGATAAACATTCTCAAAAGGAAATGCTATTATGGAGTAGAATATTCCATTTGGTAAAATCTACAAGTCTAGTTGGCACACTCACCATCCCCTAAACCTCTCTTCTAGCCTAGGTGGAGGCAAATATGTTTGTTTAGACTTAGAGGAGAGGCGATAACATCTATTTTAAAATATCAGCTGGCTTAGCTGAGTGTTTCAGAAAAATAGCCTGGCATTTCATAGTATGATGTGCCACTAGGGTGGGAACTTATTCTGACAAAACAGCTCTACCCTCACAAAAATTATTCCTGTACACTCAAACTCAAATGTATCTGAAGTTACTTGTATATATATGTGGACACCCATAATACAGCATTTGTAAAAGTTTGGATCAGAAATGCGCCAAATTTTGACTTTAGCAAAATATTTCTTTATATTACAAATGAATGACATAGCTAATGTTGCAAATTCATGAAAATCTTTTCAAACAGCATCATTTTATATATGTATTAAAATAAGTTCTTTATGTAATACTTTATTGACCTAGCTTAAATTATATGTTCTTAGCAATGATGTGGTTTTTCCATTCAAAGACAGCATAGTTTTCTTTATAGTCATTAATTTCCATACAACCTTCATATTAGAATCATAGAATGATCGTACAAAGATTTGAAAGACATGTTAGTTGCTATCTAGTTAAACCTCTTCAAAGATTACCAGCACAGAGCATGGAGCCTCTGCACATGTACTTTGTATGATAGAAACTAATTGCCAATGTTTATTCAATGGAAACTTATTGAAAAAGAAGACTGGACATAACAAAGGTCTATTTCCTAGACTCAGAAAGGGAACCAGCACTTTACCCTCTAAGAACCTGCTTATGGTGGGACCACACCAAGATAATATTAATAGAAGCTCCATGAGAAATGCCAAATGTATTTAAGGGAATGCAGGGATGTATGCTTTGTTTCCCAGAGTTTGCAGTCTCAGGAGGCTGCAAGCTTCTTAGAGAAGCTTCACAAATCAACAGCTTCTGAGCTCGAGGGTAGCAGCTCTCTCCAAGGGTGATCTCCCAACCAACAGCCTCACCTTGCCCTGTGAGATGCAGCTTCCTGGATGCCACCTCACAATCATGCTGGGTAAAGCTCAGCAATCTGTTTTAACAAGCCCTCCTGGTGATTCTGATGCACACTCAAGCTTAAGACAAAGGAGGTGTCCAGCAGGATGGCTGCAGGGTCAGAGGAATTAGTACTCTTTACCAAATAGTCCCTGTTCTCTTTCTGGGCCTGCAGTGGAATTGTATTTGTCTTATCCTAAAAGTTAGGCTTGGCCACGTGATTTGCTTTGGCCAATAAAATGTGAGTGAAAATGATATGTTTCCTGTGCAAGATGGCAACTGCTGTATCGACTGGGCCCTGGAGTGATGCAGAACAAAGCTCCAGACGCCCATGGAAGGCCATGTTACATGAGCTTGAAATAAACTATTGCTCTTCTAAGACACTGGTCTTTGTTACCACAACATCACCTAGCCTTCCTGACAGATGCAACTGAGGACTTCGCACTGCGCCCCAAACCATAACCACCCATGGCGTCGATGATGTACATCTCAGGCACAATTTTCATCATTAATGTAGTATCAGAACACTCCTGGGTGCTATGGTTTGGATGTGGTTTGTCCTCACCAAAACTCTCATTGAAATTTGATCTCCAGTGTGGTCGCATTGGGAGGTGTCTGGGGCATGAGGGTGGATCCCTCATGAATAGATTAATGCCCTTCCAAGGAGGTGAGTGAGTTCTCTTTCTTTCAGGAATGGATTAGTTCCTATGGGAGCGGGTTGTTAAAAATGAGTCTGGCATCCTCGGTTTCTCTCCCTTGCTTCCTGCCTCACTGAGGGATCTCTATGCACGCACTCTCCCCAACGAGGCCCTCACCAGATGCAGCTGCCCAATCTTGAACCTTCCAGCCACTAGAATCGTGAGCCAAATAAGCCTCTTTTCGTTATAAATTACACAGTCTCGGGTATTCTGTTATAGCAACACAAAGGACACTGGGTTTCCCAAGAAAGGAGGGGCAGAGGCAAAACAGAGAAGACGGGGAAACTGGAAGAAGCAAACTGTACATTCAAAGAAGATTAAAAGAAAATTGTGGCTCTCATGACCATAGGTTGCAGCAGGCACAACAGCCACTGTTCACATGTGGAGCTCAAAGACTGGACAGTGCAGAACCACTTGGCAAAAGACACAAGGGGAGAACTGTCTCTTGGTGCCATAAAGGTGCAAGCCCCAGATTCCATCTTGGAACAAGTAATGAGGAACATGGGATGGAGACAGGAGAAAGTAACAGTGTCCTGGGATAGAAATAGCTTGGGAGGTGAAACTACCTTAGAAAAGGAGGCTCTGGAATGCCCCTTTGGGAATTGACACTTTCATTAAACTTTTTAGCTAATTCCTGAGTGATGGGAATAAGCCAGTTCTTTAAGGTTCTGGGGAAAGTGCAATTCTGGCAAATTAAAGAACAAGTGCAAATGCCTATGGGCAAGGAGTCATGTTCAAGTGACAAAAAGAATATCTATGTCCCTGTGTCTGGCAGTGTTGCTGCACCAAGGTTCCCAAGAGAATGAAGCCCTACGGGAAATGGTCTGAGTAACCATTTTCTCAATTCTCTCAAGTTTGGTGTCATTCTAGAGTCAAAGGAGAGGAGTGTGTATGTAAAATGTCTGCCCTATGGCACTAGGGCTTCATTTTCTCAAAGAACCCCAGCTGAGAAGGGCTGGCTAGAGGGTGGGATGTAGAAGAGAGTCCCACGAAGTCAGAGGTAGGCAGGGGCCAAGTAAGGATTTGGGATTTTATTCTAGGCACAGTGGCAAATACTGGGAGGTTTCAAACAGTGGGATGATACATTCTTACTTACTTTTACAACAGATTACTGGCTGCTGCTTGGAGAATGTGCTGTGGAAACACAAAGAGAAAGCAACGGTCAGGAGGCGTCTGTGTCCCTGCAGATGACACATGGCAAGGTTAAGGCAACGAGCAATGCATGATTGACAATGCCTTTGAAGAAGGATGTGGGGAAGACTAGAGGGAGAGTGGAATTGAGGGAGAATAAAAAGGAGAGGCCAAGTCAACAGTGGAATATATGAGTTTGGAGCTCAGAGGAGAGGCAAAGGCTCGATACATTAACAAGGGAGTCATCAGTATATAAAAGTATTTAAACCATACAGTTGGATGAGATCATCTCACTCTGTCAATTTCTCTTTGAATGTCCCCCAAATCTGTCCCTTCCTCTTATTGCTACTGCCGTTAATCTTTGTTTCCTGAAATACGTACTGCAGTACTTCTGTTCTGGGTACATGGTCTCTCTCCTCAGCAATACTTTTTCTACATAACTCTATCACTCACCTTCCTGTTACATGAAGTGAACCATTCTTCTATCTAATAAAAATTGAGCACTCATCACCTTCAAATCTCCCTGGTCAGTGCTTTGTGTGATTCAAAGATGAATAAAAAATAGATTCTGGCATTAGAAGCTTACAGTCAGCCGGGTGTGGTGGCTCATGCCTGTAATCCTAGCACTCTGGGAGGCTGAGGCGGGCAGATTGTTTGAGCCTAGGAGTTTGAGTGAGACTCTATCTCAAAAAAAAAAAAAAAAAAAAAAAAAGACGCTTATAGTCTGTAGAAATGATATGTTTGCAAAAAATTCTATTTCAAGATAGAAAGTGATAAGGGCCATAAACATTATGGCTATTTTAGGAAACAAGGAGGTGAAATTTAGCTCCATAGATCTGAAAAGTTTTTGTTAGGAAGATTGTGTCTGAGTTGGAACAAGAGGCCAAAATTACATCTTGACCTCGCTGATGAGAGTGTGTGGTCCTAGTGGTCCCCAGTCTCTCAGAATCTCCTTAATGAGCTCTTCTTCCACTCTCTGACATTCAAATGTAGGAGTTTTTTTAAGGGCTAAGTATTAGGCGGTGGTTTTTTGGTGCAACACTCGTTCTTCATGCAAGCTCATCTACTCTGATGGCAAATCCATTGCATCCCTCCAATTTATTCCCAAGGATATATTTTTAAAAGTGCAAATCTGACCCTGTCAGTGTCAGGCTCAACGCCTGTCAACTCTATTGCTGTTGAGATTCACATCCAAAATTGGATCCCCCCTTTTCTCTTGCTTTTCTCCTCTTCACTCTCTGAACTCGAACCACTCCAAGTTCCTCCCATAAGATGCTCCATCTTGCCTAAGAGCCATTATTCATGGGATTCCAGTGTATGCAGGTTCTTAATTTCCATATCACCCAGCTTAACTGTCAACCCCAGGAAACCTTCCCTGATCCCACAGGACTTACTATCACATGTTCTCACCACATTTTATATCTTTCCTTCATTGAACTATCAAAATTATAATTAATTAATTTATTTGTGTTACTTTTTCCTTACTACACTTTGCAGTTCAGTACTACAAGACCAGGCTCACAGCAAGTATAGTTTAATTTTTGTTACAGAACAGAGGTGCTTGCTGTTCCACTGTTGCCTGACTTCACCTTGTGCTTCCTCAAGTCTTGCACACATCTGCCCCTCTAGCACTTCAATGCAGATTCTTCTATAATTTTAGAATTGACATTTTTACTAATTAAAACTCTAGCCTCGTTGCCCTCCACCATGAAGTCCTGGCCACTCACTTCTGCCTGAGATGATCTCTTCTCCTCTAAATTGTGGTGCATTCTCAGAGTTATTCTCATTGACACGGATCACTACTGCCAAGCTCTATAGAGATTTATATGTGTTACCTCTGACTTTCAGATTTTCAAACTGCCAGGTTTGGTAAGGATTACATATTCTATAGCTTTGCATGTCCTGATAGACCCTGCCACGAGATTTTAGAATTGGGAAAGCATCACACTTGCAAGATGAATGGTTATCCAAAAAATGTTTGGTGTTTAAAGAGTTAATATAATTTGGAAAATTCTCAACTGTTGGATGCTTTATTTCTACATGACATTGGATAAAAAAGAGAATTATCATTCTTGCATGTGGATCATGATTTCCAAACAGCTAAAGGATTTTCTTAGTCTTTGATTTTAAGCAACATAAATAGTTGTTCCTAACCTATTTGTTGTCAGGATAACGGCATCTTACTGGAATAATGATAGCTTATATGACCTTCCATTGTCAGGGTCAGGGAACTTAAACCATATTGTCACGAGGACCAGTTAGAGATAGACAGCTGTTTAGCTCATAAGAGAATATAATACGGAAAAGAAACAGGCATCCTGACCATCCTCAAATATTAAAAGGGAGCTCCAGTAAAAGAGGAATTAGATTTACTCTAAATGGCCCCAAGAAGTCTTTCTAGGAATAATGAATAGACATTTCAGAGAGATGGATATTTACTTAAGCTAAAGAAGCACATTACAATGTCCAGAGCTCTGCAGTGATAGAATGAATTACCTTGGAAGGTATTGAGTCTCCTTTTACTTGAGGCATTCAAGGAGAAGTTATATAAATATTTAACAGGACTGTTATAGGAAATTCCAAACACTGCCAGGTTGGACCTAGCATCGTCTCACAACTGAGATTCTTTGATCCTATTATAATAACAGCTAAAATGCACCGAGCATTAAGCACATGTCTGGTCCTGTTCTAGGCATTTTATATGTCTTACTTCATTTTATTGTCACAAGAACTATTATTACACACATGAATAATAGATAATTGCCTTAATTCCCACAATTAGTAGGAAGTTGATGCCAGGAAACCTTTTCCAGAACCGGGTCTTTTATTTTGCCTTTCATAACCATGGGACAGATCTAAGTCCAAAATGGGAAAGGCTTTGCCTAGAAAAGTGAATAATAATACAAAACAAGTGGGATGACCCCAGGAAGGATGTGCTAAGAAAATGTCATCTTCTGAACCGAATGGCATGGTCATCAGTGAACAATGAATTTAAAGAACGGCTGAAGACACTTGCTCACACCCTCGCGTGATGATCACAAGACAGAGGCCACTGAAACCACTGCTTCATATGTAACCTGGATTATATTTTGAGAATATGGGAACAATGTGTTTTATTTATCCTTATAAATTAAATTTTCTGGACCTCGTTCACCATTAAGACGAAGCTCTGAAGCTTAGAGCTCCAGTAAAGAAAAGAGAAGGTACTATCTAAAACCAAGAAAGTATCCAGGATAGGGAGAAGGGGAACATGATCTGGGTGGAGACACAAACGAGAAAGAGAGGCTTATAGGAAGCAGAGAAGGGAAATGAAGAAAGCAAGCAAGAAGTGCAATGCAGGGGCCTCACATGGAGTCAAACCTTGAGGGAGCACGGTAGGGACACTCCAGGTATGTTGAGAGTGATGCTAAACACAGAGGTCTTCGTCCTGCTTCCAATTTTGGTCTCTAGGAGGAGAGTATCCAACACAATATTGTGCACCAGCATAGGGGGAAAGGGGAGAGCACCTCCTGGGATGTAGAAGTCGCTGAGTGTTACCGATGGGTGAGATGGAAAGTTAACGAGTGAAAACCAGATGGGATGTAGGGAGATTCCCCCATAAGAGGGGAGATCCCCGTAGAAGCCAGAGGGTGGAATACCCAAGACCGAGGCCAGCTTGGGGCTTCACTGAGACCCACAGATGTCATACGCCAGCAAGAGCATGATGAGATTCATTGGTAGGAAGACTGGAAATATTGGTCATGGCCAATGCCAAGAGAAACACGTGTACGAGAAGTGGATTTCCTCAGCAGACAATGGCAGGCAGAGTTAGCGCAAGCACAGCATGGACAATTCAAGGGTGCAGGAACGATATAAAACTCAAGCCTAGACTTGGGGCTCACAGCATCATCAGAGGAAAAATAGTAGTTTTAACCCAAATGCCATCTTAGGAAGAAGCGTTATGTAGATTCAGTAAAATAATAATAATAATTTTTTTAACTAAAAAGACAAACCAGAGTATTTAGACAAAAGAGACTGAGTTAACCAGAAAGAAAACACTGTTTAGTTTAATTGGTGATTTAAGATACTTTCCCTTCACCATCCCAAAGGGAGCCACAAGGAAGTCTGGACCAGAAATAGGTAAATAACAAGCTATAGGTGAGATTGTGTGTGTGTTGGGGGGCACATCTCAATTTGATGAGAGTTAAATTGGCCCCCCTAAATGTTCAATTAAAGAAATAAAATTAAATTTCTTGAGCTATTTATACAAGGGATTTTTAATTTATAAAAGCATTTAATTTAGTTGGGAGACATTTCTTGTTCTATTGAAGCAAACCTAATTGGGGAAAAAAAAAAAAAAACCAGCATCAGTGTCCAATAATGGCTCCAAGACAGACGGACAGGCCTCCCGACTGGACGACCACACACTTTGCTATGCCTTTCACCTTATTCTCAGCTCCCTGGGAGCAGCATCAAAGGTAAATTTCAGTTCCTGATGCTTTCTGACTTTTAACATTTGCCAAATGCATTCTCCACCGGAGCCTGCAGAGTTGCCCAGCAATTTCATTTGGGATTTATCACTAAATGTCTTTGAACTCACATACAGTATTAAAAATGTGCAATTGCAATAAAGATAACATTATTTTAATCCTGTAACTAATGCTTATAGTTTACTCCCTCATTTCAAATTATTGCACTTGCTAGAAAATTGTATAACAGTGTAAAAAAATTGACACATGAACAGGTTGAATATGTATTTTAAGCACATAAAAAGGTATTTTTAATGTCATAAATGAGAGCTACTATAATTTATATAGTTTATAAAATTTGGAAATAACTAATATAATGTAAAGAAAAATGACAAGTGAAACATGAATTAAATCCACACAGTGAACTAGGTTTTTGAAAACATTTCATTTTAACTCAGCTTAAGTTAAAAGTGTAATAGTATGGTTGCCAAAAATAAAAAGATATCTAATGCTGGAAATATCCTGTCCCATGCTACCTTAGTAATTGCTTGCAGAACTAGAGTCTTATACTTTGGGAAACACAAGTATTAACTAACTAAAATAAAAATGAATGAAGCAATGTTGTAGAAAGCAAATTGGAGACTGTATGGTAAAACTGCATTGATTGTATTTGGAAAAAACTAGAAGTAAGAGATGCTTAGATTCAAGAGTTGGCACATATATCAGTAATACAAACAAACTGAGGAAAATGAGTATCTCAAATCCTGTCTGGAACTTCTTGATGAGACTAATTTAACAGCGTAAAAGGTAGAACAAATATTCGTGAAAGGAAACGTCAAGTAGATGAGAGCATTACAAGATAGTAGGCAGATATTTCAGATGAAAAAACATATCTACATATATATTTTTGATCGAATTAGTTAAAAATTAAATCTTTGAATTATTTTTGCGATCTTTGAGTAACTATGGATACTGGAGGAAGAGGGAGAGAAGATGAACACCATCAACTGTAGACAAGTGAACTATTGAATGTCAAAATAGATATTAAAATAATTGTACATAAGCTTTTAGAAAGGAAATTTGTTCATTGGTTAAATAATTTTCTTTATGTTCTTTCTAGAAAAGTCCATCAATAGTATGTGATAAATATTATGTAAGTATTTTTTAGCAAGAATTCTGCCAAGGTCTATTATGGTATCATCATGAACAACAAAGAGGAGTAAATTCTCAGCCAATGGAATGACAGTTCTTAAAATATGTGGAATAGTTGATGGCTCTCAACCTAAAGAGATGTCTGTAGTGAAAAGCTGAAGAGCCATTTTCTTATTCCTATCTGATGGGCATATTTGTGTCTCACTGATCATTATTATTTTTAGTGAAAAGAAGTTAGAATCTTTTGACAAATATATTTAATAACAGAATTTTAAAAAAACCTTTAGTTAAGTGTCTTCCTATTGTAAATTTTAGGAACTCAATCTAAAAGAATTTAAATAAGAAAGGGACTTTATTGACTTATGTAAATTGGAAGTTCCCCGGGTGGAAAGCTGGCTCCAGGGGTTTGAACTCTATTACTGGGATTCCATGTTTCTCTCCATCTTCCATCTTTGCTTTTCCTTGGGCAGTCTTAGAATAACCACCACCAGCTGCCTTAATCTAGCATTGCCATTACTGTCCATAAGTACTGCCAAGTGTTTTTCTTGAGGGTTCCAGTAAAAATCCTGTGGAGGCTGTTGATTGACCTGATTTGGACCACAGCCTATCCAATCACAGAGGCCTGAGTGATCGGACACTTCATTCCACCAGCCTGAGAGCTGGAGAACCCATGCATTGGAAGATGAAGAGAGTACGAGGTCATCAGATCCCACTAAACCATGTGCAGTGCTCATGCACGAGAAAGGAGGGTGTGGTTGCCAAGGGAACGGAGGAATGCAAAGGAAAGGTGGGTTAGAAACCACAGGCACCGCACTGCACTTCCCTGTCTAGACTCTTACGGGAGTTCAGTGGTAAGCCCTCTGTGAGGATCCAAAATGAAATCACATAAAAACAAGAAAAGAAATGTGGCTTTACAGTTAAACACATACAAAAGAAGAAGAAAATTTTAGTAATTGTAAACGGAATCAATGGAGTGTGCAGTGTGTCGCAGCTACCAAAACAAACAAACAAAAAACACCTAAGAAGCAAAACAACAACTAAAAATAAAAAAAAAAAAAACCGAGCAAACAGAAACACCAGCAGGCAAGACCCACATTAAAGAAGAAAATATTTAGATGCAGAAGGCAGGGGAAGCCCGAAACTCCTACATTTTAGCTGACCACAAATAGTGGATGTGGCAGCAGGATCTTCAGAAAGAGCTAAAATGCAGGTAGAACTTACCGGAGAAGAATAACCAGGATGGCACAAAGGCTTACGTGAGGTCCTGGGAGAGAACAGGCAAGAACTGCTGAGGAGCCAACTGCGTGGAGACCGTGAGTTCAGGGTGAGGTGAAGGAGGAAACTGGCTCCACCCATCGTAGGCTGGGAATCTTCACTCCCGGTGCTACAGAAGGACAAGGGGACAGAGAATTCAGGGACTCACAGAAGAATGGCCAGGGTGCTCCTCTTCAGTAAAGGAACTGAGGCCAGGAAGAAATGGGGCAAGGCACTGCTGAGTGAGGGCAGGTTCCGAGCACAGGAGCAAGGGAGTGGGAGATAGAGGAAGAGGCAGGGCATGTCAGAGATTATTCATTCCAGTTGAAGATTCTGAGCATGTAACAATTCTGAGTGACACTGAGGCCAAGGATGTGGTCATGGAAGTGGACTGCCGAAGCCAGTCAAGTGAAGGAAAGAATCCAGTTAGTCAAGGATCTTGGATTCTGAGTGTTGAACTAGATGTCCTCCTGAGTCTTAAAGTTACAGGACAGTGGTTGGATTTAGGGTGGAAAAATATGAGTCAGAAGCCAAAGTCCACAGTGATTTGAGAACACCAGGAGTTTGGTCATTTACCCTGAAATGAAAAGGAAAAGGGTGCATTGAGTCTGAGGGTACAACCCGAGAGCAGGAACTGCAGGGGAGGGAGATGTTTCCAGAGTGGTCCATGAGCAGCAAGGGTGTTACTTTTCTGAGAGCTGCCATAACAAATCACCACAAGTCTGGTGGCTTAAAACAGCACAAATTCATTCTTGTATAGTTCTGAAAGCCATAAATTTGAAATGGGTCTTACGGGGCTAAACTCGAGCCCATGCAGAGCCATGCATTGTCCAGATGCTCTGGGGAAAATTCCTTTGCTTGCCTCTTCAGGTTTCTGGTGGCCACTGGCATCGATGGTTTTGTAGCCTCCTAATGCTGATTTCTACCTCCTCGGTCACATTGCCCTCTCTGCTTCCGTGTGTGTGTGTGTGTGTGTGTGTGTGTGTGTGTGTGTGTGTTATCAGAGCTCCTTCTGCTTCCCTCCAAGAAAGCTATGTGCAACTGCATTGAGGACCAACCCAGATAATTCTGAACAATCTCCCCATGTCAACATCTTTAACTTAATCACACCTACAAAGGCATTTTAACCACATAAAGTAACACTCACAGGTTTCAGAGATTAGAATGCAGAGACCTTGTAGGATGTCATTTCTTCAGCCTGCCAAAAATGGTAGGTATAACAGCAAGATTCCTAAGAAAGACCTAAAATTCACTTGGACCACAGGTCTGCAAACTGTAGCCTGCAAGTCAGTGCCTGTTTTGTAAATGGTTTCACTGGAGCACAGTCATGCCAATTTGTTTACATACTGTGGTGGCTGCTTTCCCACTACAGGGAAGAGTTGAGTGGTTGCAACAGTAACCATATGGTCCTCAAAGCTGAAAATGTTTACTATCTGGCCCTTTACAGAAAAAGTTTGCCAATCCCAAGTTTGCCCAAGAATGTGGTAAATTATACTAGGGAGATTATAAGGTTTTAATTTACAGTTGACCAGCAGTCACGTAAGGATGAGAAGTTCAGTAGGAGAAAAACCTACAAAATACCATTAGGTATTTTTATAGTTAGACTTTGGTAGTTTGGAGCAAAAATATTTTATTAAAATGGTGAAAGTAGAAAATAGATATTAAGAAGCAAATCCTATGAAAATGGATATTGGTAAATATTTGACAATTTGCTTAATAAATTTATTAGTTTTATTATATAATTATATGTATTCAAATATGTATGTCTTAACTACATATTGCTTGGTAAAATATATATGCTTGAAAACATTTCTCAATAAGTTTGTGTATAAGGTTGAAGGAAAAACTGGAATGGAGGTATAATAGCACCGCAGGTAAAAATAGAGGTTGGCTTGTGATGTTGTTTGATTCCATCAGGCAAGACTTGAGCCATTTGTGGACAAAGGGTGGAGAGAGAAGGACTGAAGGAACAGGCTGAGACAAGAGAGATTGAGAGTGACAACACAGGGGTCCAAATATGATCCTGAGAAAACTGAGACCCCAGAGGATTTATGGGAAATTTCATCAGAAATCCAGTAGGGTGGTCCGCAGGGCGTGAGGAAGCCAAGGTAAGACTGGGGCAGAGGCTGTGGAGAACATGCAACCGAGAGGCAGAGGACCATGTGGGGACTTAACCAGAGGCAACTGAGGCCCTAAGCAGATTCCAGGGAGCATGATTGGCCTCAGCCAGTAGGGAAGTGGCAGGCATGCGTGTGCGTGCATGTGTGCATGTGCGTGAGTTTGTAAGGCAGAAAAAGAGACAGAGACAGAAAGATTCTCCAACAGAGATCTGCAAGACTCGAAGAGGAGCTGTCCCAGTATATGCAGGGAGGTCTGCCTTCAGCACAAGCTTTCCACGGCAGATTTGGCCAACGTTTAAGGGCAACGGGGATTTTTAAGAGTTGGGCAATGACCACTTTCTTGTGAGCAAAACAGACAGGAGCAGATGCCTGAGAAACCAAGAAGGTGTCTGACAAGCAATCTGCGGTGGTCATTCTTGTATCTGCAGCGGCTAGCACAGTTCCTGGGGTGTGGTAGGTACTCAGGAATATTTGATGACCCAATTGATGAAAAATTACATTTTTGAGAGGTGAGTGTAATCCTTATAACGTACTTTCCAAGTGGTTTTAATTAATTAATTAATTTATTTTTTGAGATGGGGTCTCACTGTGTTGCCCAGGCTGGAGTGCAGTGGCTATTCACAGGCGCCATCCCACTACTGATCAGCACGTGGGTTTTGACCTGCTCTGTGTCCGACCTGGGCGGGTTCAACCCTCCTTAGGCAGCCTGGTGGTTCCCCACTCCGGGGAGGTCACCATAGTCATGATGAACTTATTGCAGACACTCGATGGGCGTAGCACACTACAGCCCAGAGCTCCTGGGCTCAAGCCATCCTCCCACCTCTGCCTCCTGAGTAACTGGGACCATGGCCCTGCCACCACATCTAACAAGTGGTGTTATTATTCGCACAGTAGACTCTGGGGTGTTAGAGAATTTGCCAGAAGGGCAGCTGGTACAGAGCAGACTGGGATGCAAGCCCGGGTCCCCCTGACCCTGAATCTTTCCCTCTCTGTCAGGCTCCCTCTGACAAACCAGCGGAGGTCCCGTGAGGGCCTCACACAGCAGAGGCGGGAAGAGGAAGAATAAAATCAGCCCTAGTTTCGTACTATTAATTGAAACTCTGAGTTTGCAGCGTTCGTGCAAAGCAGTGTCATTACGTCTGTCCCTCCACATTTTCCTGCCTGCGTGCCCCGAGTCTGCTTGTCCAGACTTTGCGGTGAGCAGAAGCCCGAGGTGCTGCGGCAGGGACTTAGAACAAAGAAAGCGTCTGGAGAGCAAGCCAGGAAACCCGGAGCAGTGTAGACAAAGAATCGTAAACAATCAACACAGAAGGGGTAGGAGGAAAAGTGAAAGTCCGAGGGAGGGAGGGGAGCTGGGATGAGCAAAACCAGCAAATGTAGAGGTCCTGGGATGAAAAGAAGCAGAATATCAAGAGTCTCAAAGGGGCTGATCCCCAGAAACTGGCCTTCTTTTATGGGTCCTCACTTTCACCAGTGGGTTGGAAGAGCAATCATGAAGCTGACATAATGTATTAATAGTTTCTTTTATGCTAGGCAGCCCCGGTTATCTCTCCGTGCTGTAACAGTCTTTCTTGGGGTCATTGTATAGGTCATGACCACTTCTTCTGTAGCCAACTCCAGTCTCTGAATGGCCTCTCGTGCCATCCACCCTTCTCCCTGCTGGGAGTTTGCCCTCATAGTTTGTTATCCATTGTTTTGACAAAAATGATCCAAGGTTGCACGACACTTTCCCTTTGTGATGAAGTGCAATTGATTTGATGGCAGTGACTGTTCGTGCTCCTCAGGGCTCACTTAGGGAAGGCCCATAGCTTTTGCAGAAGGTTGAGTTTTCCAGATGTATCATTTCCTTCCAAGTAGGGTCTTTCCCAGTTTGTCCTAAATATCTATGTTGCACTGCTTAGGCCGAGCAATCTGACCCCCGCATCCTGCCACTTTCAGTTCCTGCAACAACAAATCAGCACCACACCAGCCTTCACATCCTCACCTCAGCCCGTTGCAAATCTCACCCCAACTTTGGCTGGTCCTCACTTTTAGGATTAGTCCACTTTTGATCTAGGAGAACACTGGGGACAATTGACAAAGTAGTGTTATTTCTCTGTGGATTGCACTTATACCTGCTGTTCCTGTCCCCTACGGCCATTGAAAATTGCAAGGCTGCTACACTTGGAAGGGAAATGTGGTGGAACAAACCGATTAGTATCCACATCATAATCACCCGCCTTCCGAGTGTGCTGCCGAGTGTCTGCAGTGCATGACAAGCGCGGGCTTCTGAGTCCTGAGTGGAGAAGTGGTGCCCAAATCACAAATCAATCAACCAAGAGGCTTTCAAGTGAGTTAAAAAGACAATCGGCAGCCAGAGTCTAGGGTTGTTTTCTTCTTGGCATCTCCCTGCGCTCCCCCTCTTTCATGTGTACCCCAGAGTTTCTACAAACAGAAATAATAAGGACACTCGGGTCCCTTTGTGACTGCTGCATCAATAAATGAGCAGGTCTCCCCAGACTCTTTGGAAGAGCAAAATCAGATGTGCTTGGGGATCTTAATAATACTGTTATTAAGGACTAGACCAGTTGAGAAATTTGTTTTTTTCTGTAACACCTGGAGCAACAAAAGTCCAGAGAGAGCAGGGGGAAAAAAGTTTTTCTTAGGTCTGTGTTTGAAATGCATTTTTCCTCCTTAGTAAGGACCTGCCAGTCAAACTCCTAAAGTAAGAAAATGATCATTCCTATAAGAAACAATCCAGGGAGAGCTTTCATTTAAGTAGAAACAAATTTTTGCTCATCCTAAATACAAGGAGAAAAAATGCTATTGGTGCTTTATGATTTTTTTTTTTCAAGAAAATCAGTGTTCTTTGAACATATAGCTCATTGCAGAA